ACTGGCTCAAACTAAATCAGCGGGCATTAGGGCAGCTCACTGCAGTGTTTTTTGAAGGGGGAAAAGTAGCTTTGCCTGGCTTTGACAAGAGCTATTCATCTTTCTAATTCAATGTATGTGTCACAACCAGATGACTCCAAGATCTCAGATACTGGACCACCGCTCAAATTCGCATGCTTTTCTTTTTTTCTGTGTTGAAACCTCTTTCTGTCTTCAGTGCTTTTGTGTCTGCGTTGGGTCGGAAGCTGCGTTGTTTATCAGGACAGGGCAGTCCGAGCTACCTTGCCAGGTGGATTTGGCTGTTCCCTTTCCTTGAGTGGCTCTGGAGCGCTTGCTCTGCCGGAGCTTTATGAATTTTATGGGTTAAAGGTGCTTCAACAGTTTATCAGAATTGTTCTTCTGGTCTTGGTCCTTCCACACAGCCAGAGGCTGCCTCTGCAGGTCTCCACCCTGGTGCTGGTTTCAGGATGACGAGGTACCAAGGAGAACAGGCCTAACTAGAGTAATCCTTTTAATTCCGAAGAACAACGAGCCTTAATCCAACAAAGCTGAGCTTTCCATTTCTGTGGGTAGAATCCAGATGCAGGAGCAAGGGTCCGGGGTTGGCGAGAAGCTTTCCAGTGGGATTATTTCCCTCTTCCTTTGGCGTGTTTTGGTTTTGTAGGCGAGCGGGGGGAGGACAGAAGGGCATTTCCATGTGTGTTAGGTGTCACCCAGCAAACAGACAGGAAGGATGCCCAGGTAGCACCCGCAGCTTTCACCGGGGGCTCTGGAAGGTCCCCTTGGTGAAAAGATGGACAGGGAGAGCAAAAGCAGCACCTCTCTGTTCAGATGTTGGACCTCACTACAGCAAAGCACCTGCTCCAGCAGGCGTAGCCTGCTTCTGTTTAGCAGATAAAGGCAGGCGGCTGGTGAAGGTGTTGGGGGCTTTCCTCTAGGCTGGTTTTCCCTGGCATCAACAAAACTTTATTTTCAAGATACGTTTCTACGGGGGGAAAAAAATCTTAGAGCTGAAAAACTTCCCTTACCTTTAGTAGTTCCCTTGAAGGCGAAATGCTGCTTCCCGCTTTGGGCTGAGTGTCAGAGATTCCAGGGAAGTGCACTGTGGCAAACGCACAAACGTCCCCGTCTTTTTGGTCTGAGCCCACGGCTGCTTTTGCGTGTGTTTGTGCCCAAAAATGTACCTTTGCAAGACTTTCTGGAATTGTCTGCAAAGTGTTTCCCTGGCGATCCTTTCAGCTTTTCATTTCTCCCTCCCTAGAACGGCAACGTGACCTGGAGCGATGAAGGCGATGGATGCCGAGGAAGAGAAATTTCAAGAGACTTTGCCAAGGTCAGTGTGATCGCTGGGGGTTTGGGGAAGAGGTAGCTTTGGGGAATTCTTCCCAGGATCTGTGGCAGAGGGAGACTACGGAGCCCTTCCTGTTCCTCTGTAGAGAATCTGTAAGAAAACTGCTCTGTCCTGAAGCCCTCTGCCTACAAACCTGTTATTTTTGTTGTTTATCTAGATATCTGTTTATTATGTTGTTTATCTGTATATCTGTTCTGTTGCCTTTGGTCACTGGAATGTAGTTTGAACTAAGACTTCATAACCAGACTTTTGCCATTTAAAACCTTAGTCAATGCTAAGCTGGGAGGAGAGTATTTTTGTTTCTTGAACCTGATTAGCACTGTGGTCATGGATCTGAATGTGGCAGCTGTGTCACATCGGCTAGAGGAATTCATTTTAAACTGAGCTGGCCCTTTCTGGAAGGGTGCAGCTAATTGCTCGGCAAATACACTGGTGCGTTTTTCTTGTGTGTGAGAAAGCAGAGAGCTTCCCAGGGACTGAGCCCAAAAAGCCCTCTTTCTTTTGGGCTAGATGAATACCAAGGAGCTAGCAGCACCTACGGAGAGGCTGAAATACGTGTTTCCCATCTTTGCTTTTCCCTTGAGCTGCTCCACAAGAGTGGCTACAACCAGCAAAAAAAAACCATAATCCTTGGAGTGATGCAGAAGTCTTTCTCGGTGCAAACAAGAGAAGGAATTAAATTCTGCTCCATGTATGGCACTGTCTTCTGTCGTGTTCTGTATCCTCCTGTATGTTGGTGAGAGACTGACTTCAGCCCTTCCAGCCTGTCACTTTGTGGCCTCACAGGATTCTTGATAGGTGAAAATTAGATTTTTCTGTTCAAGAGGTGCTTGTAGGAGATGATATTCTCATGTCTGTCCCTGAAAAGTCAGTGGATAAGGCTGGCATACAGTAGCTCTCCTTTGGAATGAGCTTCCTGTGAAACTTTGTTTTCAGTGCTTGGGTTTTGAAGCCTTTGAGTAAAATGATTTCTGCAGCAAATTGGTTCCAGGCTGGTGTCTGATATTTTTTCAAGGCTTTTTGGCTTATTTTAGAGGAGCCTTTCCTGCCAGGCATTAGTAGTTACAGGAAAGCTCTATCATTTCATCTCCTTTAAGGGAGTTGGAGTTTGTCACATAGGTGACAATCCCTGAAGGAGGGAGTCTTGATGCTAGGAGAAGCTGCAGAGAAGTTCACCTCCCTGGTGCCTCAAAGCTACAGACCATTCATCTGACCCAAACCTCTGTCACCTTCCTTCGGGTTGTCTCCTCGTCCTGTCCAGCTTGTCTTGGTAGTTGCTCTTCACTTTCTCTCTGCATCAGTGCTGTTAACCGAGCTGCGTCGTGTTCCCTTCAGGGTGCTGGTCAGCACCGTGCCCGGACGAGAGCCTGAGGGGCTGGGCAAGGGGAGCCGCAAAGAGGGTCCTAAACTGTCGCTGCAGCCTTGTCCGCTGAATTGCTCAGGCGTCCGGCCTTGCCTTGCCTTGCCTCTGTGCCTGGGGCTGCCTTGCATTCCCCCAGTGCAAACACTGGCTCTCCCTTTCCAAGAAGCTGATACTATTCATTTTCTGTCTCATTTCGGATTGTGCCTTCATTTTTGTTTTCCCCCCCCCCCAGCTCTATGAACTGGACAGTGACCCTGAACGGAAAGAGTTCCTGGATGACCTCTTCATCTTCATGCAGAAGAGGGGTGAGTGAGCATTTGTTTGAACGTGATAAGGTAAAACAGGGCAGAGGGGTGCTGCTCCAGTTTGAATTCCTCCCTCCTGAGTTTGAAAGAACAAGTCCAGCGCTTGAACTTGCAGATCAGGTGGAAGAGCAGCAGTAAGACTCGAGATATTTGCCTTGGGAGAGAAGGAGCTCAGTAGGAAAGAACTCTTCTGTAACTTAGTTTCACAGGCACTATTTTTCTGCCCTCACTCCTACCGAATACTCGAGTTGTCCACGCAGCGAAGAGCCCGAGAAGCCGAATTCCCCAAGGATTTTTGAAACAAGGCTGACTACCACTGGGGATCCTCTCGTCTCCTTTTTGGGTGGCATGATCACACAGCTTCTCATCTTTGATTTCTGTGGCATGTGGAAGCAGAGCGTGAATGCCTTCACAGTCTGCACAGAGTAGTGGCGTGCAGTCTGGGGACTGGGACAGCAGACACCGAGCCCCATTTTCCTGTAGATTTGCAATGTGTCAGCTTTCCAGTTAGTGCTTTTGTGTTAACCGAGTGCAAAGCGCACAGTGCAGAAACGTTCTCGCGTTCCTCCCTGCAGTGTCAGCAACTTGCATCTCTCCTTGCTGCAGGAGCGGCGATGCATGCGTGAAGTAGCTCAGCTGGGATGTCGCAAGAGTCTCTTTCTGTCCCCCAGTTATCAAAGTTCAATTCCCTCGCTGCAAACTAGTCATAATAAAAATGTACGTGTGTGTGGTATCGTATGAAACATACAGCTCTGAACATGGACCTGCTGGAGCAGGTCCAGAGGAGGCGACAAAAATGATCAGAGGGATGGAACATCTATCCTACGAGGACAGGCTGAGGGAGCTGGGGCTGTTCAGCCTGGCTCCAGGGAGACCTTGTAGCAGCCTTCCAGTGCCTGAAGGGGCCTGCGAGAGAGCTGGAGAGGGGCTTTTTACAAGGGCGTGTATTGATAGGACAGGGGATAATGGCTTTAAACTGTAAAGAGGGCAGATTTAGATTGGATATAAGAAATTCTTTACTCTGAGGGTAGTGAGGCTCTGGCCCAGGTTGCCCAGAGATGCTGTGGCTGCCCCCTCCCTGGCAGTGCTCAAGGCCAGGTTGGACGGAGCTCTGAGCACCCTGGTCTGGTGGAAGATGTCCCTGCTCATGGCAGGAGGGTTGGAACCAGATGGTCTTTAAGGTCCCTTACAACCCAAACCTTTCTATGATTCTGTAATTTGTCGTCAGTCCTTTGTGTTGCTCATTGCCCCTCCAAGCAGGCCAGGCCAGACAGACTCTTCCAACAAAGATGCTTCTGACAAAAAGTGTTAAATTGTGCTACGGAGCTTTGCATTGTTCCTGAAAAGTCTGCTGAGGTGAGGTGTGAGGAATGCACATGAAAAGGACCCTTTGCTCCTTCGCGGCATAACGCTCTTGGAGCATGCTGGACCAGACAAGCCAGGCTGTGCTGCTTTAGAGGGGGGGCAGCCGTACTGTGCCCGGAGCGTCGAGTGAAGTGGAAATACACGACAGCTCAGTCTCATCTGTTTGGAAATTACCTGATTGCCGGGCTGGAGCTGGAGTCTCATTTCCAGTTGTCTTTCGAAGCGCGCATCTTCAGGGGCGTCCCCGTCTGTGGATGGCTGGGTGACGAGCGGAGGAGAGGCTATCTGAAAGGTGGCTGTTGCAGGCGCTCTTCGCAGCCGCCTCCAGTTTTCCTGGCATGGCTGGAGCTGACAGCTGATCTGTGTGAATTTTCACTCTCCAGCAGCTTGAGGTTATGCTTCCAAGTTGGTTAAAAATTAGAGCCGGGCTTTGCTGATATTTTGGGCTTTTGTGTGCGGAGGCATTGCCAGGCTTAATTAGCTGACTTGCAAATGTTAACCTGAGCTCACATGTTAATGTAAGGGCTGGGATGACTGACAGGCAAGACAATTTGAAGGGTGTGATTGGCAGCAATAGAAACCTCCAGATACCTAGAGAGAAATCTGCTTAATACTTCAGTATCTCCTTCCTATTACCTTTTAATTATTTATAATTGGCATGTTCCTGGTGCAGGGGCTGAGCTGGCCACCAGCTGGTTGCTGTAGGAGTTTAGCTTTTAATCATCTGGGCATTTCAAAGTGCATTTGTTTTCTGGAGACTCCCTTGTTTTCTTGCTTGCTAGCAGGCTGGAAATGAAATAGAAGAGCCCCGGCGCCCATGGACGAGAGGTGCAGTGACCTGGCAGCCCTGGGCCAGAGGGGCTGGAAATTCTGTGCCCTTGCTCTGGGGCACTGGCTCGGGTGCAGGGTACTGGGCAGTTGTGGGCTTGCTTTATATTTTGGCAACCCCTAAAGACATAGGCAGAAGGGCTCTGGGGAGCTGAGTTTCTGCAGGGTGACCGGAGAACTGAATGGCGTGTGTTGAGCTATGGGAGGCAGCTTCGCTTGTGTTGTTGATCTGAGCTGCTGCGCCTTACTGCAAGGGAAATCTCCTGACTTGGCACGGCTTTTCAGAAGCTGTGCTGTCCACTTGTCCCACGCCTGCTCTCCCCGCTGCTGTCTGCAGCAGGGTTGCTGCTTTGCTAGTGAGCAGATTAGGCTTGCCCGCTGTGTTCTGTTCTGGGATCTTCAAAAATCTGGGAGCTTCCACAGCAAAGTTCTCGTAGGACACCATTCAGGCTTTCATTTCTCCTCCCCTTGCTTTATGTGCCAAAGGAGCATCCTGAACCAAACAGGGCTGAACAGCTGCCTTGTTCCGAGAGTGCCCCGAAGATGGATACAGCCAGGGCTCATTGCACCTGAGAGCAAAGTGCTGTGTTTCTTAGCTAGTACGTGTGAAGAGCCGGTTAATTTGCACCTCGTGTCTGAAGGGAATGGAAAGCAGCTCTGCTCATAAACATCGCTGGGGTAAGGGTGGGGATTTTGCTGTTGGCCGGGAGGAGCTGGAGAAGTGCTGCCCCTTGTTTGGGGCACAGATTGCTACCCGATGCCGAAGCCAAAAAGCTTGAGGTGAGAGATACATGACAGATTTCACAGGAGCTACTGAGTAGCTGGAGGGATGAAAAGACTTGGTTGTTGGTGCTGCTGTTAGGAATGCACCTAGAAATGTGAAGCCATGAAACAGGCTTAATGCAGATCAAATGTGCAGGTCTCATCTGCCTCTGAGCACAGCAGGTTGTCACTGAATGACCACAGCTGCAAGTGATAAAATGGGCCTTCAGTGGCAGTAATGATGGAAGAGGGAGATGAGAGGAAAGCTGTAACTCTTCCTTTGTTGGGTGTTTTATTCCTTGTATGTGTTTCGCTGAATGGGTCCCACCATTGCTGCGATTGAGGGGGCAGATGGGGAGAGGAGGGGAGACCAGCCGACGAGCGAGCGCAGTTAGTGTGCAGGGCTAACTTCCAGCCAGGCCTACAGCAGGACCGGTCCAATGCAGCTCGGCAGGGACGGTGCTGGCTCGTCGTGTTAATGCTTCCGCTTTCCCTTTTCTTGGCTCCTTCGCGGACTCAAGCCGAAGGTTGCCTTTCCTCAGACGGAGCGGGGATAAACAGCTTCAGCAGTGGCTTTCCCCCCCCTC